ATGATTATGCCCTAATCACTCTAATTACATCCTGATTGGCCCATTCCGTGATTATAGTAATCATGTCCCGATCACCCTAATCACTCCCTGATTGGCTAGTCCTTATCTAATCTAACGATTAGCTAAGAGCGTCCCGCGCCTCTCGTACTGTCTGCCCAGCCCGTTGGCTTAACTGTAACAGAAATCTATAGAACTTCGGCAGCAGAGGTGCCCTGTAAATCACACTATTGTGGCAACTTACTACGTAAGCTTGTAGCTACTTTGGAAGGTCATAGTATCTATTGATTAAGCCTCAGGCTACAGTAGCCCTGTAAGCCTTTAAGGGTCCCTTGTAAAGAATATTCTAAAGGGATCTAAGCCGGGAAGTTCCATTACTGCTTATAGTAGTACTGCCCACTGTAATATTAATCTGTAGGGCAGTAAGTAGGGCACTTAGTAGTACCTACACATTAATATATATAATTTCGTTAAACGCTAGCCATAGCTCTATACGCGTTTTATATATAGATACGACTACTAGAGAGCTAAATATAAAAATTTAAAGGTTATAGCCGAATAGTTTATGCTTGTACGGAATAGTAAAGCTAAGTATAGTATTATAAATAACGATATTTATAAGTTTAACGAGATTAGGTTTATAATAAATATTATTTTTACGGGTATAATAATTACGACCTTAAACGGCTTTAGAAAAGTAAAATTAATTTAACTTAATAACCGTAAATAGGTAACCGTAATTTAGAAAGTTAATATTTTAATTAAATTATCTCTCCCTTTATTATTTTAATCGTATAGTATTACCTCGCTAATTAGTATATCGAATATAACTTTTTAGCCGACTAACGTATTATAATTACCGATAATAATTAAATTATTAATACGGTAAGCCTAAATTAAATTAAGTACTTTAATTATTATATAACGTTCCGTATAAAAGGTAAATACCGGTTATTAATCTTTAATAGTGTTAGCTGGTAAGCCCTGATAGGCCTATAATATAGAACCTATATAGGGTTGCTGTAAAATACAGCAGTGCGTAAGCGGAAGCGGGAGGATACGACGGCAGTGCCGAAGGAAGGTAAAGCACTGTAATACAGTAAGGTATAAGGAATAAGAATTGCGTTTATTACCCTTGGCTTTGGCCTTTGGCTTTAGCCTTAAGCTTTTGCCCTTAAAGAAAGAAAGAGAATTATTCTATAGGAGAGAGGAGAGGTCTATATATAGGCCTTCGTAGGCCTACTGTGGGTCCTGTAGGCCCTGGAAGCCCCTATACTACTTTGGGGTATTTAGTGGGCTTAGGTAGGTCTAATGTAGACTTACGGAAATCTATAGAACCTTCGGCAGCAGAGGTGCCCTGTAAATCACACTATTGTGGCAACTTACTACGTAAGCTTGTAGCCACTTTGGAAGGTTTTAGTATCTATTGACTAAGCTTCAGGCCACAGTAGCCCTGTAAGCCTTTAAGGGTCCCTTGTAAAGAATATTCTAAAGGGATTTAAGCCGGGAAGTTCCATTACTGTTTATAGTAGTACTGCCCACTGTAATATCAATCTGTAGGGCAGTAAGTAGGGCACTTAGTAATACCCACATATTAATAAATAGCTACGAAAATTATTATTTAACTGGATTCGAGCGTTATTATTAGTAGAATAATATTATTACGCTTTATATACTTTTATATTCCTTTTATTTCCTTTAGTTACTCGATATTAGCTATTTTAGGCTACTAAAATAGGTATATAGTCGTTAAATCGAAAACTTAATATATATATATATTAATTACGTAAATAAAGTCGAGTTCCTCTATACCTTCTGGGAGGCCTTTTTTGCCTTTATAATAAAGAAAAATATACGGGGTAGCTTTATAGGTATTAGCTTTACGCTGTACGATCTAAAGAAAGTATTTTTTAAATGAAATATAAAACTTTATACGTTAATATCCCTAACCGTACGGCCCGGCACTCTATAACTTTAAATATTTTAAATACTATAAAACTATTACAACCTGCACCGCGAATAGATACAGACTGCAAGGCAGTACGCCAGAGGTGAATATGATAGGATAATCGAAGGTTGTAGACAAATGAACTTGATTGCTTGCGTGAGGAATCAGATTCCTCGACACGGAGAGCGCTGGGCGCTCCCTCCTATTTATGTGCAGCTATCTATATATGTTTCTGAAGTATCTTTGTACCTTACTTAGTGTGCTTAGTGGTCTTGGCGGCTGAGCAGACTGAACAATCTTTTATTGATCGATGTGCTCAGTGTGCTCAGTGGTCTTGGCCACTGATCAGACTGAGCACCTCCTGATTGGTCACATGGGGACTTTGTGGGTCTTCCCATCCCTGGCCCAATGATTGGCTGAGGTGTCCCAGCACCTCGGGAACCACCCAGTAGTTCCTTCACGGGGTTATTATGCTTGGGGCGTAACAAAAACCCCCGAGAAATTAATTTATAATTAATATTTATTAGGGCTTATATTATTAACTATTAAAATAATTCCCCGACTTTAATATTAACTATAGTAGACTAGCTTATTAAAAGTATAATAATTATAATACATTAAGTAGCTCTCCTTTAGTCAGAGGTATCTTCGCTCCGTAAAGCGAACGAGGCACTAAGTAAGCGCCGGAGAGCGAAAAGAACACGCGTATAGCTCGGAGGATCACTTGCCATATATGATACGAAGGATCTACCGGACCAGAAGGCCGTGGGTGGGGAGGCAGCAAAAGAAACATAGCCGGATGGTAGTGGTGCAGGGAGGGGTCGTACGAAGGTTCGGTGCTGCAGTGTATGCGGCAAGCCTGGCCATAATGCACGTATTTGCCAGGAGGCTGTAGAATCGTCTGATTCGGCTGTTTCTGATGTAATTATAGTTGGTTTCTAGTGTTTTTATGTTGCAATTGAGGATAGTTGTTGTAGGGTGGTGGAGACTGTACGACTCGCTTATATGTACGACTCGCTTATAATATACGTTAGCGCATTTAACGAATCCACAAAGAAAACACCGATATATACCAACTACGGGTATACGCCTACGGTATACGGCGAAGCCAGGGAAGCAAAGGATGCCCCTGCAGCCACGAAAGCAGCCGAGCAACTTAAACAGCTGCACAAAGAACTCAAGACAGATCTCCAATTCATCCAGCGACGCATGACAAGGTACGCTAACAAACGAAGGATGAAGGGACCATCCTTTAAGGAGGGAAATAAAATCTATCTCGCTCGCAAAAACATCAAGTCGAAGCGACCAAGCGAGAAACTCGACTACAAGCAACTTGGACCATTCAAGATCAAGCGAAAGATCTCGGACACCAACTACGAACTGTCACTACCACAGTCAATGCAGATCCACCCGATTTTCCACATCTCACTTTTGGAACCAGCCTCACCACGGGCAAAGCTCGACGAGACCACAGAGCTCGAGGACGAAGATAAAGAAGAGCAAGAGGTCGAGAAGATCCTCGATTATCGCGGAGAAGGACCGCAGACAGAGTACCTTGTGAAGTGGAAGGACCAGGCGACGACGAGAACACATGGGAGCCGCTTGACTATTTGACCAACGCGCAGGGCATGCTGGCACAGTACCACCGATTGGCGAAAACACCCCGACGCGGTGCGCGACGTGGTGCGCGGCGCTAACCCTGCCACCACACTGGACGGTTACGTGAGCGACCCCTTCACGAACGAAATCACGAGGACCAATCATTGGCAACCGCCCCCACTGTTGCCTGAAATTTTCGTCCACGCCCAATCAACCACATCTCCCGAACAAAATTCCAAACATAAGCGGCCTACTCTGTCGACCAGCTCTTCAGGAAAGGAAGCCTCCCTTTCTTTTGTTCTTCACCATGGATAAGAAACAAACCTCCCCGAAGCTCTTGCAGGCAGAATTTCCGCCAGCCCAAGAAGAGCAAGTTCCAGCAAATCCGCCGTCACGAAAACGACACCTAGACAGCGACGACGACGCCGAACAACAGGCAAAACGAGCGCGAACGACGCGCCCGACTTCGGAGCCAGCACGATTGACACGACAGAACCTCGCACGTTTCAACAAGATGGGCAAGAAGAAGTCCTCAGACCCCTCGGACGATTCCAGATCGACCAAGACCAAGACAACGTCGACAACGTCGACAGGATTCGCCGACAAAGCCCGCAAGAACGGCATTCTCGACCCGCATGGTTCGAGACTGGCCAAAAATCTCGAAGACATTCGCCAACAGCAGGCCAAATCCCGAGCCACTGCCTCGCCACCAGAGTCGGTATACAATGACTACGTCGACCGGGTCGACAGAGCCGGCAACGAATCCACCATTGTCGTCGCAACAAGCAAGCGGCTACTAAAGGAGTACCCCACGAATTACCCAGACGCCTACAACCGAGCATTCACGAACCTCCCGAAAGACGCTGGATTCAATAACGGTCTGTCTGCCCCACAACCGGACTTCATCGAGGGACTCGAAAAAGAGGAGTACCGCCCGTTCCCAGTCGACGACTACATTCCTGGGGCTGCGCTCTACCAGGATGACCCTCGCTCTATAACGCTACCGCAGATAGCCGGAGAATGGAAGGGCCCTGCCGGAGATATGAGAGAAGCGAGAATACAAAGCGCCTATGACGGAGCTGCGATGGTCCACGCAAGAAACAAGGCCCTCGCCTACATGGGAAAAGAGGACCCCCCTGGACACGCGTCAGTCACCACATTCACCACAGACGGCACGAACCTCAATCTGTTCGCGCACTATGCCGCCCCATCGGAAGAAGACGAAGGCGCGCTGGAATACCACCAGTCTCTTGTCTCGACAATAAACCTCACTGGTAGCTACGAAAGCTTCAAGGAAGGCCGAAAACACCTCAGGAACGCCCAGGACCACGCCAGAGCACAGTCGTACGCTCTGAAGGACCAGTTGAAGGAGCACTACAAGCAGCAACGCGGTGGTGGCCTCCATCCTGTCGCTACAGGAGTGCCGCCCTTGCCTGTACCAGGCATCGAATCACTGAACGCTTACGAGGACGAAGGCGACTACGAAGTCGTCGAACACCAGCCTGTCCACCAGCCGACGCCGCCTACGTCATCCAAGCACAGGAGTGGCAAGACGCACGCTCACCACTCGCACCACTCGCATTCGACGCCGCACTCGTCGAAGGCTCCCTCGTCCACTCACAGTTCCACCCACAGCAGCGGTGGCAAGCGAAAAGCTTTGTTCTCACAGTCGTCCCACGGATCCTCTGCCCCTGTCAGCAAACACAGGAGCTACTGGAAGAAGGATCGCGAGACTGGTCAATACTATCATGTGCATTCGGATGGTACCGTCTCTTGGCTTGACGACGAGGAAGACGAGCGTGACTAGTACGGTCTCTGGGACATCGACCATGAAGGAGGGGAAACCTGTTGCAACCTGCCAAGCCCTGTCAGCGTTGTAAGCACGTGAGCACGGTTGGTCACGCAACCACGGCGAACCACGAGGCCAGGAGCGACCCCGAGACAATTGACCGCGGGGCAATGGCGCCGAGACAAATGGCACAGGACCTGCGGGCAGGAGGACACTGGACGACTAGGTGGTGATGGCACCTGGAATGGCACCTGTGATGCGGTGTCTGAAGCGAGTCACCGGACACAGCTCCCCAACAGACTCGGCCTGTTGCTTGAGAATTATTTAGGAGCAGCGACGGAAGCTCGCTGCTCACACCAGTCCCTACCTAGACAGCTTTCAGTCTAAGTCTTTGTCTGATTCTCAGAGGAAGAGGCAACACGCCTTACGCCACCCTTATTGCCCAGTTACACCTAACTCTCTGCCAACATAAACCCTACACCAACAGACCCTTGCCCTAACGTACCAGAGGAAGAGTCTGGGCGTAACATACCTACGGGCAGATGACCGGGGTGACGGGATCGTTGCCGTTGATGATAACGCTGGCGACCATACCTTGGACGCTCGGGCTGTTGCAGAACCCACTTGTTAGAGCGCTGCTGCCGAAGGAGAAGCTGGAGGGGGTGGTGAGGCAGCAGGAGCTGGCCAAGAAGCAGGCGGCGGAGCGGTTTGGGGAGGACAAAGTTGTGAGGCGGGATATGCTCGGGAGCTTTGTCAAGCATGGGTTGAGCCATACGAACGCGTGGCTGGAGACGTTTGTGCAGATTGGGGCGGGGAGCGACACAACGGCGACGGCGATCAGGATGACCATGTTTCATCTGATGAGCTCACCTGGGAGCTATAAGAGGCTGCAAGACGAGACGAGATTGATGCTGCGATACGGGAGGGGAGGGTATCGAGTCCCATTGCAGAGGAAGAGGCACGGCGGCTGCCGTACTTGCAGGCTGTGATGAAGGAGGGACTGAGGCTGTCTTCGCCAGTGATGGGCCTTCTTCCGAAGATATGCGACACGGAGCAAACTGTCTGTGGCGTCAGGATCCCGCCTGGCACAAACGTCTGCTGGGATGCCATCTCCATCTTCCGAAATCAGGAAACTTTTGGGGCTGACGCTGACGTGTTTCGACCAGAGAGGTGGTTAGTGGAGATGGAAAATGTGGAAAAGAAAAGTATGGAGTTTGTGCAAGGCCTTGTCTTTGGAACTTCTGGCAGATTTGAATGCCTGGGGAAGGGGATCGCGATGCTCGAACTTAACAAGGTGTTTGTCGAGGTATGCGGACCCTAGGGCGCCAAAGAGTTTGTTGTGTTTGCTGACTCAAAGGTGCCTGCCCTAGCTTTTGAGGCGGTTTGACTTTGCACTTGTCAATCCGCTGACGCCATTGACCTCCCGCGATTATTCCTTGTCTTTTCAGACTGATTTGTGGGCTAGAATAACCAGACAACATGTTCATTCGTAGGTGGGTAACTAAGAAGCATGTCTGGCATACCGTGCCTAATTACCCCTGAAAGTCCATGGTTGACCAGGCAACCACCTGAATGAGACCAATAACTACAGATGTTGAGTGTGCCTTTCCAATTATCATCCAAGTGGAGAATGCGGCGTTGGCTGGTACAACCGTAGGGTTGTATAACCTCGCAGCCATGCATATCGCCGCTGAAAGTTTGCTCTCAAATCTTCCCTGCTTGCGTATAAAACCAGTCCACACCTCCGCACTTCACCCCCTTTTCCATTTTCCTCCCTTCCAGTCCTGCACACCCTAGCCATCACCGCACAGCCGACCAACGCCGTCACCACAACTGAAACACAAAGCAAGACAAGGGTCCAGCCGGACCTGGCGCAGTGACGGGTCAAGCCTGCCGTGATCTGGCTCATCTGGGGAGCAGCTCTTGAACGAGATGTGTCATGGTTCCTGAGGAGCTTACAGACTGTTTCAGACATTTCAGTGGGACATGGTTGAAGTGGCAGGCTTTTCGACTCTGATTTCCAGGTTGTCCACCCACCGCCGACGACAGCATCCCGTCCTCTTACCACTATTTACCGCTCTCCCAGCCAGGACCGAAACTGGAGCGACCAAACCAGCGACAACCGAAATCGTGCCTCGCATATGATACTGTACTCCTCACCGAACCTTTGGTTTCCTACCTGATTTCACACCGGGGGGGAAGGAAAAGGCAATTCCCAATCCTGATAACACGACAGGATGTGCTTTGAACACTGACCAAGGCAAGCCAGAACAGAGCCGACAACGTCTCTCCTATCCTGGCTATCCCTTATCACAAGGGGTGTGGTATTTGAGGGGATTTTGGCACACTTCTCGCACTCTTTGCCGACTACAACATACCTAGGTATGCAAAAAAGGCAATGGTTGGGTATGCTTTCCTTTCGGACTGCTTTCGCCCGTCTCCAGACCAATCACCTCGACATCCTCTGTAGGTAGCATCCTCGAATTGTCGCGGTGGGGATGGGCATACAGTTTCAGGGGATGGCAATATTCGCTACCTTCAACTCTACACAAAATCGCGAGCTGCGTCTAGAATAAAGCGTTGTGTCTGCTTACGAGGAGAGGTAACCAGACAAAGCAAGTGTCTAATCGCGACTGATGTGATCATGGATGTCTTCTTACGAAGGGTTGCAACTTCTCGTTCGAGAGGAGCAGCTTTATCCCTGGCGATCTGGGGGGTCGTGTCCATGATAATCGATGATACTAGCTACATCGAATAGGACAAAGGGCTGCCAGCAGGACATTCAACTCAGAAACGCTCAACGGGACAGGATATCTTGTTGGTTAGGCACCGCCGAGAGAGATAAAGCAAAACAACCGCATGCATGACGAGGTCAAGTGCCTCTGGCATGGTGGTCGTGGTATAACATGCGAGTCAAAGTCATAGACAACAGGGGGAGGCTAGGTGATTTTCGATGCCGCCGCCGTCACGCCGATGATGCCTTGCGAGGGCTCAGGGGGTTTGCTTTTGGCTTTCTCTCGACTATCCACCAGCCAAAGACAAGAAAGGGCGCGCAACCGAGGATGATGGAATACCTCCGCCTGTCTAACTAGCTGAAGAAAGGTATTTCCATGGGTCATAGGGCCTTTGGGCATGCCTCTGAGTTATGGAGAGGCTGGACTTCATCCTCCACCATTCTCAAATCAAATTTCACACAGAGGGCTCGAGGAGAGAACAGCTCGAATATCAGCAGGCTGGGTTAGGGCTCGACCAGCCCTGCAATGATTTACACAAGGGGGGTTCCCTTAAACGTGCAGTTAGCTGGTGTTGTCTCTATAAACTACTAGCGATGCCAGACTCTTCCTCGACATTGACAAGGAGTCGGGGAAACCAATACCTACCTTGGGACGGCAAGTCCGACTTATCAGGTGGCGCCCAGGGAGCAAGATGCACAGCACCGGCTGGCATCTTGGTTGAATAGTAAATGCGGCAATTCCAGCTTTTTGCCAGTGATGAGTGGCTTATCCCTTGGGAGATCATGACACACGGTCTACACCAAACGAGCCTTCATCAGTATGGTACGACGTCTTGCAATCTATAACAAGTTTAATGTCTAGAGCTCGACCAGTTTGATTGCCGTGTCTGTGCATCTATCTGGATTTACTCGGGATTGGATCTGAGGCAACTTCAGTGATTGGTATTTGTGTTTTTTTGTCATTAATTGGTTCTGCTGGCGGAGTGGTAGATGGGATTGTGTACGTAAGGTAGTATGGATTGCTAGTCAAGTAAGGCGAGAGTGCAATGAATGTGACACACGGAGCCTCAATGCAGGTTACTATCGTCAGAAAAGTAACCCTCATCTTTCTTAGTATAGAAGTCATAATCTGGTCCCCGATCGACATTCTCCACCGTTGTATCAGACAGGGCTGGTGAAGGAGGTGAATCACCGCCCGCCAGTGCTGTCCTCGGAGATGGGAAGAAAGGAGTTTCTTATTACAGTCTCAGTCATCTAGAGAGCCACCCGCTTCACGCCTAAACAAAGTGGTTGGCATATTTTGCAGTATATGATATTCCTGGCTGATTGACTATCTACCTACGAGAGACACCCACCACTTCGAATCGAAAACGGAGATGCAAGGAAACTGATCGCCAGCCAATTCACTTCAGCCAAGGCGCATATCCTCCATATCCTGCTTCTAGATGGTTGCATTGACCTCATTTGAACACCCTTGGGTACCTCTGTCGAAGCTGAAAAGTCACCAGTAGGCATCCAAACCCAGAGCAGCTCGTGGCGATCTGGAAATTGGTTACATATAAACCAAGAAAGCACGGGTAGTATGCTTCCTGATCTCTTTCAAGATTATCGCTTCAGTCATACGCTGGTTGAGCCTTCATTATTGCGGTCTTGTTGAGGGACGTAGTTGTTGCTATCACTTGTGGGGGGGATAGACCTCGTCGTGATTCAGTTCCCAGGGCAAGCCCGAGCTCGAAGGCTCCCGGCGCTCCTGGGAATTGTGAATCAGTTAGGTGAGGTGGTAGCGCAGAGTCGGGCGTTAGCTGTGTTGCGGCGTCGGCGGTTGTGGTTGCAAGATGTGGGAATTGCGGATTGGCCAGGCCAGGGCGACAAATTCGGAGGCTTGCAGGACATTCTGAGTTCGTCGTGACAGGTTTCAAGGTTTTGACATTAGGCCAGCGCATGGATAACGCCGCCGTTACCCACACATCCCCCACTCTCGGAACAGCACCCATGTTATCACCCAACTGGCACTCCCAACCTGGAGCACAGGCCCCCTCATGGCAGCAGGTATAACCCATGGGGCACATCCGCCTCCACATAATTGTCTACCGATGTCATCACAGATTGCTATAGGCTCAATACAACCGCCCACAATCCCGCCGAATGCCGTTGTTATCGCGGTTTCCTTCTCAGTGGCATCTTCTCGCATCTTCGATTGGAGTCTTTCCTGAGAGACCGGATGTAAGTTATTCACGTTACTGCAGAGCCATCACTGACTGACAACACTTTGCACACTGAAACAGGAAGAGTATGTAGCGGCAAGGCAAAGGAAGTGTGATCTTGTTACCTGTCAAGAGTATCTGATCCTCCGTGATTTATGTGATCAAATTTCTGTGGCCAAACAATCTTGGTACAGGACCAAGTGCCGTTCCTTGTTTTATCGATAACTTTATTCTATGAATTGATGCTTGATATGTTGGCTCGCCACCAGTCAAATCTTTAGAAAATAACGTGGTAGGTACCTATAGAGGTATATTACATAGAAACATGCTCAAAATTTTCCTTGATATGTTTGTTGTTGAGAAAAGTAGCTGTCCAGGATCAGCGGACTTCCATACCGAAATCCGACGAGGACATCACGGATTTCGTCTGATGTCAGCATCCTGAACCCATACAGACCGTTACGCCTCTGCCTTTCATGCACGAAGTACATCATTCAACTTATCTCGGATACTGAAGGAGTCTAGACGGCTGCCACAAGCATTTCTGGTGGGTCCGTTTGGCTGGGTCACTGGAGTAAGCAGCACCGACATCTCTGACAATATACATGTCGACACTCGCATCCTACAGTTTATACCCATCTTCACCATGATTCATCTCGTACATCATTGCAGGGATGGTACGGCTGCCAATGCCTTAGAATAAAAGTTGCCCCGCCAGGTATAATTCCGAAAAAGTCATTTCACAACTTGGCAAACCCCACTTATGTTAGTCAAGGGTGTGGGAAAAGGGTCGGTTTACCTCAAGGGTGGTGAACCATCGTTTCTGCCATGCAGCTTATTTTAGTGCAGTTATTTTAGCGTTCAATCACCCACTGCTTCCGCTTTTCCTCGTCTGCTTTCGCTTTCCTATGCCTAGACTTGCCACGCAACGAAGAGCGCTGGACGAATACGGGCGGCCGCCCGCCCAGGCAACCGTATATAAATACAAGCTAATGATATGGCTGCCGTAGCGCCCTACATCATGAGTCTTCTCTCATCACCCAACGATTGGACCAGAGCCTGCAATTATCCCTCATCGTGGTGTGATTTCCTCGTCTGCTTTCGCTTTTCTCGTGTGGGATTTATGCATTAGCGTGGGCCGCACGTCGATCCAACTTGAGTACTCATAGCCGCCAAAAAGGGATGCAGCACGTCTCACCAATGAACGCTTTGTTCAGGAGTGGGTGATAAGCTGCACGCTGCTAAGGAGTTGTTCTATGTATCATGGATTCGGGGCGCTAGGCATGATGAGTCTTAGCTTGCAGGGGAGCAAATAACGTTGTATCTTGTTGGTCGCAATGTTGGCCCATACATTTCATAGTTGAACCTCACTTCCAAGGCACACCCTGCCTGTGAAGGCAGTTAACTTATTTAAGTCTGGCTGACACTCCCCTATTTGCTTCCATAGCCGTCTCTTGTTCTCGACAAACCAGACCACGCTTACTGCTATTTATCATCAATATACAATCACCTTTTCCTTCTATTTTCAGTATATAATATGGCTAGTTTAAGGGACGTTTTGTTTCAGGCCCCTTTGTCAAATAGCATTGCTTCATTTCACACATTACCAGGAGCCGGCAAACCTACTCTGTCCTAGAAGACCTGGGTATCGGGCTATAACGAGGTCCGAGAATTTTATCAATTTTATACAAACCCTACCCAAGAGCAGATCAATGACGTGTTCGGGGTTAAAAATGCTTTTAATGACTATCTCCTAAATAGGGAGGTGAACCCTTTGAACGGCACTACCGAATGGTTACAGAATGGGGGCGATAGTGTTAGGACATTCTATACTAAAGTCTCCGAACTTATCCAGTTCGCCTTCCAAAGCCGAGGAACACCACCCATTATCCAACGGTCAGAATCAGGACCCCTTAGCTACACTAATGCCAGTCAAACTATTAACTTTACTTAGGGATGTGGAGATCGTTATTTTGTAATAGGGAAACTCAAAAGGCATGGGATAATCGAGGTCGCAAGATGGACGGGAGAAAGGCCAATAGATATTAATCGTCGCTAGCTAGGAAAGGAGATGAGGGCGTAAGTATAATAGCTATATAATAATACTTACCTACTAACAGCTATATTAATAAATACTACTATAAATATAAATGCCTCGCTATATTAGTATTTAACGGCCAGTTCCTCCTAATCCTTATATTTCAAGCTTAGTCGGCTGAGCTTATCCCGTAGTAAGACTGCCAAATCACGGGACTTCTTTTCTTAAGCGACTGTGTAATATTATGCTATAGCTTCTTCCGGACGTTGACCCATTAGATTCAGAAAATGCAAGCTAATAGAGCCCCGGCAGTAATCTTGGATAGTTATATTCGCAGATTCGAATGGTGGTCAGGATATCCTTATTGGATTAATAGGAATAACGAGCGCGAGTAATATCCAGCATATCCTAATAGCTATATATAGAAACTTAATCCGGAGAGTGGTGCATAGCATAGGGTTAACGCGAATGGAAATCTTGTCTTGGACGGGAATAGACTGGTTGTTTGCGATACTCGTAGCCTCGAGTACTGATATCTGTAGCTTCCGACTAATTTAGTTTTAGTATTTTAAAAAGTAGATCCCACTCGTTTACTTATACTACCCTCCTCTTTCTATAAAACCTTAAGCCAAGCCCACCTCATTTAATTTTCCTGCGTTTTCACCATTCTACTCCGTCACTCTACCCTTTAAGATGGAAGACGGTAAAGACTACGAGATTAAGGTATATACTTTAACTTCTAAAGGCTGATAGTTGCTGTTATTGATGCGAGTACTATAGGATATACAGTTTGGCTTCCGACGTTTTTGAGCGCCTGCAAAACGGATCTACGCGAATCGAAATGTCTTTCTCTTAGATATCCCGCCGAATCCAATTGCTTGCTGGCTATTATTCTGGATACCGCAGCTCGTCAGCTTCTGGCTACAGCGTTTGCTGCCAAAGTGGTTCTTGCCGACAACTGTCATTCTAAAGGAGCGAAACCCCAGCAAGGCTGATAATTACGAAAACGAAATCGACACATACTTGCATCTTTAACCGCTCCAGGGCACCCACATCCCGTTTTTATTCGGTGAAGTAGCCGTCAGCTACGCGAAGAGGATGTACCAGATCAGCCAGCGGCCCACTCCTGCCATTCTCCTGGAATACATCAAAGGAGTGTCGCTAAGCAATCTTCCAACTGAAGAGCTAGAGAGTCCTCACCTTCTGGGGGAACTTAAGGACATGTATAATCTGCTTACGGAAAACGGGGTTGTTTATGGGGATCCAAGGCTCCATAACTTTCTACGTGTCAATAACAGGATCGTTCCTATTGACTTTGAGTTTCCTACCCTCTTCCCAGTGATATAACAAATGAGAATGAATTGGAAACCTTAAAGGGCGAGATCGAGAAACGGGTAATGCAGGTAAAGGGGGTAAAACTGAAACGTCTTGTCTCAGGCCCTGTCATTGTGAATGGTTTACGGGTGCGAAAGCCTTCCGGCACGACGACCCATAAACTAGCAGAGGGGTGACGAGAGGCCTGGGAGCTCAGCTACCTAGGGTGTGTTCTCGGCACGGGGGTGTTGGGCCACGGTGGGGAATGACATGCCCTTATGGTGGGTGAGGTGGAGAGGTGGTACGGTGAGAAAGAGGGGGAGGAAATGGAGGTTAGTGGAAGGTGAGACGTGGGGGTTTGCACTCGGGAACAATGGACGGGCACTGACGGGGTAGGAGGGGTAGTCAAAAGAAGTGCAATCACAGACCAGAGAAGCATAGCGAGTCATGGAGGCATGGCAAGTCATCCTCCCATTCCGGTGGGCAGGCTGGGCAGCCGTACATCGGAAAGGGGAAAGTCACTGATGTTGGCAGCACTGTTATCTGCGTTGTGCGCTTGCTGGCAGAAGCGCTACGTTTCACCTTGGACAAATGTACTTGCCTGATACAAACCTTTCCTTGTAGCCCTCGTGAATTGTCGTGCTGCATCCAGAGAGAGGGGATCTGTGTACATATCAGTGTCGTGATATTCTTTCATGCGCCGTTTCCCAGGCAGCCCTGCAACCTCGCGGTTTCCGCGCACACTTTATGTGAGGGTACGACGAGACGTGTCAGGAAATTTCCCATCACCTGGACTTGAACAATAAAAGAGGATCTCATCGAGTCGTGACCCCTCCCATGGACACCGAGAACTCACTGCCGCCCTACCAGCATACCTGGCATCCTCTTCTCAGAGTATGAGAGCTTTGGTAGCTACCTCCTACAGCCACGACGTCTACCACTCTCAAATACTCGTCAACAGCTTCGGCCAGGACCTTCCAAGCCTAATATCCCGCCAATGGAAGTCCATAGAAACAATGCCCACAGCCACCATCATCATTGGCCGTAGCTACCGAGAAAAAGGTGGGGATCATGATGAAGTCGAGACTCCAAGAACACCCCGCCATCGACACCAGGGTTCTGAAAAAGGTGGCTATGTCAAGGACAGGGACAGGGACACGGTGAACTTGAAGTCATAAGAACAAATTCATATAAGAAGATTGCAAGAGACTGAGCGCCAATTTCCGCTCCTAGCTGACAAGATTTCTCTTTGAGAAGACTAGTCCACACTCACCCCGGACCGATGAACTCCATCCACATCTGTTGAGTTCAAGGCCTTGATTCCTGGTAGTATTCCCTTCTCCGCTGTTTATCCTGTCCTACTAATAGGCCACAGATATATGAAGCTATCCTGCATCTCATCGCTCGGGTTATCGAATTCCGTATCGAAACCATCCGCATCTAAAAGCGGTAGGAAGGTTTAAGAGGATCTGTATATATCCTGATATAAATGTCTTGGTTCTTCTGGTGAGACATGAACCCCTCCACTATCTAAAGAGGCACAAGCGCCAAGTACATGTAAGGATGCTTTGAGCCCAACGAAGACATTTTATTTAATCTAAGCTCAAGAAACGGTTAGAATAAGGTCCCTCGAACTCTGCGAGTACTGTAGCTAGGTTGGTAGCGGCTGAGACAAGCAGATATAAATAGTAGAAGTGGATTACTTCTCGAAAGGTAGATTAAAAGTTCCCGACCCATTTCGGAAAATTGGTATGCTCGAGGACAATAGCGCACCCGATCCTTTCTTTAAGAAGCCGTTAATCTCGCCCCACTAAAATCCACAAATAAGTGCTGTATATAGTGCACACAATTTTACTCGCCCGCTTTTATTTAAGTCTTAGAATATTCGAGGAGCAAGCCAGAGCTATTAGCTCCGACTGACCAATATGAAGTATTTAGCCTACGTAGCTTTAAACTTATTGAGACCGATGTGGATACTACAATTCAATATTTAAGGATCTTCTCCTATGGCTCGCCCCATCGATATTTATACAAATAAGAGTATCATGGGAGAAAGAGGGCCAGATTAAGCAATTAAGAACAGTGACATGACCAAAAAGCGGAATATTTCGGCCACCGATAACGGCGCCGTATCCTCCTCCATCTTATCTCTAACTATCGAAGCTATCTGTAGCCACAATATAAATAGAGCCTCTTCTCTCTAATATTCCTTCTTTATACTCCACGCTCCAATTTTCTTCATTTGGTCCCTGCCCCTCCATCTCCCTTTGCCTTGTTCGCCTGTTTCCCCTGTTCCCTTCGCCCACTCGCTCCCTCATACAACCCGTCGGCCATCGCCGTGAGTGCTCTGACGCACATTTCGCCCGGGCTGGATGCTTCGTCTTCCCCTACTGGATGCGGCGATTTGGGGTTTTGTTTGCATTTGCTAATTGCAACTTTCCACTCAACTCCATCCTTGACTTTAACTTACTCTTCGCAGCGCCAAAGGACATCTCCCGAAGATGATTACAGGAATCAACACCAGGGCATAAAGTGCAAGCGCGAGCAAATCAATCCGGACCTCCTTAGTGGTGATACCGCCTCACTGCCATCGCCCGAGAATGACATCCAAAAAAACAAACTCAGCACGTTGAAGAGGGAGCTTGCAGTAAGGAAGGAAGAGCGACGGACGGCGCTGAGGAGGATTGCGGAGCAAAAAGACTACATCTTTACCCTCTCCAACCGTTTGCTAGCCGCGGAAAACGAGTGCCAAGAGATCGAGCATAGCATCAGTAAAGCCGCTGAGTATCAGCAAAACGCCAACATACAGGAAAATCTCCGATATGAGTGCTCGGTTCTAGCGCTACAGGACCTTATTGCTCTTCGAACAAACGACTCCCGCATTGCGTACCAGGAAGTATTACGGCCCATGGGTGGTAAATGTCCAGTTCCTTCTCGCACTCGAGAAATTGCAAGGTAAGAACAATCTGCCGCAGATATAATGGAGCCATTATGACGCTCCAAAAGCTATTATGAAGCTGGATCTGGTTCTGCAGAGTTCTGTTTCCAGTGCAGCAAGTGGGTTAGCCGGCAAAAAGAATTGGGAGAACCACTTGTTACGCCCCAAGCATAATAACCCCGTGAAGGAACCACTGGGTGGTTCCCGAGGTACTGGGACACCTCAGCCAATCATTGGGCCAGGGATGGGAAGACCCACAAAGTCCCCATGTGACCAATCAGGAGGTGCTCAGTCTGATCAGTGGCCAAGACCACTGAGCACACTGAGCACATCGATCATGAAAGATTGCTCAGTCTGCTCAGCCGCCAAGACCACTGAGCACACTGAGTAAGGTACAAAGATACTTCAGAAACATATGTAGATAGCTGCACATAAATAGGAGGGAGCGCCCAGCGCTCTCCGTGTCGAGGAATCTGATTCCTCACGCAAGCAATCAAGTTCATTTGTCTACAATCTACTCTCAAGTAGTTCTTTGTAGAACGACCTGTTGTTGACAGTGAACCCCTTGTCTGAGACGCTTGTCACAACCTTCGATTATCCTGTCATATTCACCTCTGGCGTACTGCCTTGCAGTCTGTATCCATTCCCGGTGCAGGTTGTAACACCACTGTCAAGATCACATCAGCCATGGTCCTGTACCTTTCTTGTGCGACCTAGTGACGTTCTGTCATGCCACTGTGTATGCCGGATATTGTCCCTGTTGTCTCGGGAACAAAGGCCTACCAGCGGACAAGCGAATGAAGCAATTTCTGGATCGACACAACTGGCAGCGACATATTCAAGGCTTCGGCATCGAGAATCTCATTCCATGCCCGCATTTCTTGTGCAATACCAAAGTTCAATCGGAGTCAGAATTCTGGCATCACATATGCGACGCCAATAGAAGTGGCAAATCTCGCACCGGAATCGTGCTAGGCGAGAGCCAGGTTGATGGGATTGGAGCTTCTGAAAGCGGCCACGCCCCAGTTAGTAGAAGATCAGCCATGCGAACAACCAGACAGGAAACGGACCGCTAAACGTCGTTCTTCCCGACTAATTAGCCATAAGTTTATTGATACTTCAGAAACTAACTTCAGCCAATTCAACGTAACCGAGACGCTAACCCTACACTCTCCACATTATAATACCTAACATAGTAGCGTCTCGGATAATAACGATCCTAATTTAAATACCCCGCTCTCGTCCCCATTTAATGATATATTTATAGATCTCAATCGCTAGTCTTTACCTAATTTCGATAGTTCACGTTTACCTATCAATCACAACGACTTATTTATCCTAAATATATAGATAGAAACAAACTTAATGTTCATTAATAACTCTACTATACGTATTTTTACATATATATCTACCGCAGAATCCACAATAGAATAATGGTTTCATAAAGGCTATAAGGTTATCGATATTACATTATAACAGTCTCGAAAACTACCAGCTAGCGATCTAACGTAAAAGAAAAAAAAGTGAACGATTATTGATAATAACGTTTATAATATAAAGAAGTTAATTATAAAAGGTAAAATCTGGAAAAAGGTGTAGTATCAAGTAAAGTAGGTAAAATACTCGGAAAGTATTAATAGTTAGGTAAAAAACAACAATATTAATTTCGGAGCTATTATTAATTTAAATCCGAACCTGTCCAGAAACTATTCGAGTTTAAGAAGCTAATCGCACGACGAAAGACTAAGGGGTACATCGAGTATAAGTCCAAGTAGCAAAGGCAACTGGCTACTGAAAACATCTGGGTAGAAAAGGGCGACCTTAGCTGGAAGTTTGTCGACGCTTTCGATACTGAGTTAGCCGAAGCCTAGAACTAAGCTTCAGGATAGACGTCTTGTCTGTTATATAAGAAATTAGACTGCGGTTAACACTTTAGACGATGAGTTAATCTGCAAATCTGTTTGTCAGGCTGTCAACACCCTTAACTGCGGCAGAACAGACCGGCCCTTTATTCGTCCTTAGTTGTATATATTCCTTCGAAGACTATGTATAAGTTATATAGAGCGTAGGCGTTCCAGACGTTCGTGGATTCAGGGCCACACCCGGGCCAGTGAAAGCATGATGAGGGGTACGGGTGACGTATCGGCGTATACATCTCCCCGCGATCAAATCAGCGGTTTACCCTCTGCAAGAGAAACCTGGGAATTGAATGGCTACCCAGACATCAAGTGGCGAACCCAAAAACGGCGCCTTACTCACCTTACTCAGGGCCCTTACTCACCCTAATCAGTGCTTTACTGACCCTGCTTAGGCCTTGCTCAGGCTCTTACTCCCACTGCTCAGGATATCTCCACTTCTGCTCAGGTTAAAGCGGCGACTGCTCAGGTCCCAGAACGGAAATGAAAATCGTCCATATCCAGATTCCGATATTGTTCAGGCCGTAACACAGAATAGCACATAATGAAGACTATTGGCGACAAAACATGATATATTTGGTGATCGCCTCAACCCCTAACCCAAAACCACATAGCTCGAGTCTCTGATGGACTAGAGAGTAGGGGTGAGCAGCTATACAATACTGACCTACCTCGGAAAATAAAACATGAACATGATCAATAATATACAGTTCGGCTCACGGTATGAACCCGATTTGCCAAAACAACCGTGGCAGGAAAGACATGTCATAACAGAACCAATAGCAAGTCAAATTCGCGTCAAAAGACAGAGAACGCTCATGTCAGGAGCGCCCCATTCTTCGCTTAACGTGATGCCCATAGCTATTGTAGCTGACCCGCTTGAAGCCCACAGTACCAAAACGCCAACTCCGATCCGGCCCGAATGCAGCCCTGCCTTGCAATGGCTTGAAGCCATCCCTACCCATGAGTGAAACGTATATTGAAAAAACACAACCGTGATCCCTCGGAGAGCAAGTCTGCCGAGTGCTCAACTCGTTCGGGTGCAGTACCCCCGCTGACAAAGAAAATCAACAGCCTTAAGCCACAACAGGTTGAGCGCCGTCCCGGCGCGCCTTGCGTACAGGGAGCTCTATTTCGCCATCCGAGTCCGAATCTGCAGCCGCAGCCGCAGCCTCCAGCATTCGGTCAATGTCGGTATCAGCCAAAACGGGCCGTGGCGGTTTGGATGACAACGTGAGACCTGCAGAGACAGGTAGGTGCTTCAGCCGAGAAGGCGCGCCGTCACCGGGTCCTCCGTTGATTCGCCTTCTGGCATTCCCCCTGGGCGTCCCTTGTGGCTCGTCAACTTCCGTCTCGGTGATGGGCTTCTCGAATTCTACACGTTTTTGGACCTGGGATTGCGACCGAGCGTGATGGTGGTGCATCGGCCTTGAGCTTGGTAATGTTCTCCTGCCCGAAGGCAGTGCTGTGCGTGATGGTCCCGAGTGACCAATTGGGAGCGGTTGCGATGATGAGGGGAACGCATGTTTGAGATTGGCCGAGTTTCCAGGACTGCTCATGAACAGCAGGGATTCTATGGCATCCTTTTCAGCGTTGTTCTGGTGCGGCGAGAACCCCATGGCATCGACTAGCGATGGTCGATGCTGTGCGGCGTTGGCGTAACCCGGTAACTGGCCGGGGCTCAGAAGATCCGGATATGATGAGCCGTGGTATGAGACTGAGAGGAGGGATGGTGTAAGTCTCGGGTTGGAGTGTCTCCGCGGGTGGACGGAATGCAGGGATGGTTGGATGGACACGGGAGGGGCCAGACCTGGGGCAGTATTTTTGACGGGGGATATCGAGCTTCCACGAGAAGGCATCAATGGGGGCTCTCGCCCGTAGGGATCTCCATGTCGTCCTGGTAGTTGCTGTGCAAAGGCCGTGGCAGGGGTTGTGTTGTTGCTAGCACGCTGTGACCCACCAGACAGTTGTGGGCTTGCTGACGACCCGTTTCTGAGGTGTATTGTTGAGTTACTTGAGGTGGGGGACGCAGCCTTGGAGGCAAGATCTTCAACCTCGTCGATGGAGTGTGTTTGCCAGCCACGGTTCACCTTAACCATGGCATAGGACAAGCGCGCCTTGAGTTCGGCGGATACCTGTATGGCGGGTTAGCATGCCTGTTGCGATAGGGGAGACTTGTGCCGGATTCAATGCACCTCTCCAACACGGCTTCCCGTCGTGGAAGCGATACTGACGGCACTGGGGTTTCGAGAGTGGCCACCCATATGTGTCTGGCCTGGCGAGATGAGGACCTGACCGTCGCGTAATGCCTCCTTGACGGCACCATCGGCCATCCTCTTCCGCGACGAGGCACCGTTGACGTATGGGTCCATCGCGGTCTCGGGTATTCTCTCTTGGGCGGCGGCGATCTGAGACAATTGGAGGAGTTGTGACGATCCTTGACTTGACTGGTGGGCGCTGGCGGTGCCAGGGCTCGCTCCCCTGCCGTTCACAGGTGGGGTAAAGACGCGGTCGGTGATGTTTGTGGAACTGCTCTCTTGCGAGTCGCTGCGCTGGAGGGTAGGCTGGCGATAGTCGTCGACGGCGAGCGGGTGGGTCGGGGAGGTTGAGCGAGGGTAAAATGGTGCTGCCTGGTGCTGCTGCTGGGATGTGTGGGCAGCAGGGCCGACGGCCATGGTTGCTGGTCGGTCGCGTGCGATTGGGGTCTGGTTCGGTGTCGCGTCTGGGGCGTCTTGCGGGTGGCCTGCAGCGGTCGGTGGTATTAGGGGGAGGGTGTCATGGTGAGGCTGCATTTTGCGGTTGAGGTTGTCGACACCTCGGTTGGGTGCCGAAAGCGGGAATGTCTTGGAATCTTTGTCTCCGACACGTCCTCCGTCGACCCGAGGCGGATTCGACGCCGAGTCCTCTTCCATGTCGCAAAGAGTTCTGGCGGTTTGGCGGCGGCGGCAGTAGGGTCCCAGCAGGAAGAAGCAAATTCACACAGGCTGGGCAACGGCGGAGAGGGCAGGGAACGGCAGTGGACAGCCAGTGAGGTGAGGAGGGGGGTGTGGGTGGACAGAAGGATAGGTTGGATTGCGAGATTTGTCCCAGTGGTTTAGTGGTTACGCGGTTCGCGCGACGCCCACCGCGGCCCAGAGTTCGTTAGCGGGAGGGCCCGCGCACAGACTCACATGGCATTGGACCACCCACCCACCTCAAGCTCCACAGAGAGCGAGCCCTCCACTTTATGCTGTTCCCCCACAGGAGCAAAGTCACTAAAAATGAGGTTGCCCTCGACCATTCGGGATGATGTTGAAGGACATGAAATCTAGTTAGGGGTGGTCTGTCTGATTCATTCAAATTCAGTTCGTCTACGGAGTACTCTTCTGCTCACGCTGCAATCATTGCCCTGTCAGGGCAGTGGCAGCTCCAGTGACATGAAATGTGGGGCTAGTTTGTGCGGTGCAAAACGTCAAAAATGGCGCGGGCCCAAGGAAAAAACACTGACCAACCGCTTGAGCCAGAAAAAAAGCGAGCGTGGACGCGAAGTCACGTGGTCAGGGAATTGGCAGCCCACGACTGTTCGATTATTATCCAAGGTAATCAAGACTTGTCCAGACCTCGCGCCTCCCACGAATCGATCCCCAGCTCCTTGTCCAGTTTTCCCAGCCATTCCGACGCTGACTCTGTCACCACACAGGCCCGCTCAAAGTTGGCCCCCTCCTTATCGAAAGACCCGGCTATCTTGTACTCTGGAATCCGGACATTGTTCTTGACCCATTCATAGCCAACATCCTCCTTTATGCTGCCATCTGCTTGCGTCTGCGACACAACAGTCTTTTGGCGCGTAAAGTCCTTGAGCGGCACTGGGTCATAACCCACACCTTCGGCACTGAGCCGGTCCATCCTGTACCTTACTGTTGGGTGAATCTCTTCATTGGTCCTCCCTTTCTGACTTTCTTTATATTCGCCTGGAGTACGGTACTTGGAACCCGTCGCCTTCTTGATCCAGCCGCCCTCGAACGTGTCGACGATTGGGCCGGTCGCCCACCCCATGAGCGCCTCAGCTGCAAGATTTCGAGCCCAGGTCAAGCCGCTGTCAATGCCATTCTTGGCATTATCTCTCGCCTTGAGAGCGTTGATCTTCTTTATCAGCCAGTGGTCCTGCTTCTTGCTCGTGATGAGGTCGTCGATAATTGGCTGTATGACCATGAATCGGTCTGTCAACATTTCAAAGGCGTTGTTGTCAAAATGGAGGTGTGGCGTTAGCTGCTCAACCATCCACATCAACGTAATCATGGCAATCTCTGGAAGCCGGTCAGCATCGTTCCAAATGGTTGCGTGCGGGAAGTGACAAGCCTACGCTCAAAGTCTCCCCTTCTCTGTTCCAGCGCCTCCTTGCTCCCACCTCCCATGTTCACATGAACACCGGGGAACCAAACTTGCAAAAGCTTAGGCTCGGCGTCCCGCTTGCCCAACTCCTCAAACATTTCAGCAGCGACAAGGTTCTCCCAAGCTTCGGTCAGCTGGTCCTCGGTTGCCCCGTCTGTGTCTCGGAGCTCTTCCCATGCCTGTCTCAGATCCGCCACGTTGCTTCCCGCAGCAGGGCGAACAGGAGGGGCTGGAAGATGCCAAACAGCAGCGTCGAATGGCTTTCTGTGCTCGTCCAGCGCAAGAGCCTGATAGGCGTGCTTGATGTAGGGGCTCAGCGTCACGTTATGGAAGCCAAACTTCTCTACCGTAACTGCCCAGCTCAACAGCCACGCGAGGCCACCCATGATGTAACCTTCAAATTCAGGGATGCCGAGACAACCCACCGTGTCGAAAACAGCGACAGCTTCGACCCATCTCGTCGCCTCCGGAGGAGCTCCATGCGGTTTCTTCTCCCAGGCCGAAGGTGCCTGCTTCCACCCCTTGGGGCTTCCCTTCTGGTTCGGGTCAAACAGCCGCTTTCCCTCCACCCATTCACGCCAGGCCTTGCTCTGGCGAAAGAGAATGTTGTCGCTGTGGGCCTGGTAGACATTGTACAGCTCGGCAAAGTCTTGCATATCTCTGGGCTGGATCACGCCAATATCAGTGACCAGTCCAGCAACGGCCCGAGCCGTGTAAGCACCGCGCGAGAATCCCAGACAAAAGATTTGGTCGCCCAGAGTGTAGTTGTTGACGATGAAGTTGTACGCTTCGATGACGTTGCCGACAAAGCCTGAACCCGTGTTGCCCTGTCGAGCAGACTCCAGAACACCTACGGCAGTTCCGATGCCGGCGTCGTAGTAGACGACCTGCTGCCACTCCTTTGCTGGGTCGTCCCCATCTCTGCCCACCTTGCTCAGATACCGCGCGATTCGTGTGATGTTGGAAGGAATGTTGACTGTGTTGGTGACTGATGATTGCCAGGTGCCATCGCAGCAGATGATGATTCTCTTGGCGGCAGGCTTGAGGGTGGCATCTTTAAACCCGCTCTGCCGGAAGTCACTGCCAGAGGGGAAGAAGGGCATAAAACCACCCATTGTGGCAATTTTGCGAGCGCTGATTGTGAAGCACTGGATAGGTAAAGAAGATGATAGGCAAACTGGAAGCCAGCTAATCAATGCACAACAACTCTCTAAGGGGCTCCAACTATTTATCTCTTACGATATTGCACAAGAATTCTGTCAGCTTGCCTCCACAAGCGCTGGATTTCCAGATAGGGATGGGCGCATGGTTCTATCTAGAAGCTAGCCTTCTTGATGCAGTGTTTTGTGGCAACGCACCAATGCCAGAGCGAGGTGAGACCGGTTTAGTGGGTCGATATTACTTTCAGCTCCAGCTCAGCACCTGTCTTATCGATCTAGATCATTATGGCCCCAGCTGAATGCAAACCCAGGTGGCACAAATTGCAGTACTTCGGGTGTTTTGGTCCGGAAGAAAAAGAACATAGGTATTTTCCATTGCTTTTTGTTCCGACACCAGAGGCAATACCATTGAGGCCCCCGTTGGGTTCTACGGCCTGGAAGATGATCAAAGCCAAGCATGTGAAGGCATTGGACGAATTGGAAAGGGTTAATGTGGTGAGTGGAATGGGAAGGGAGATCCCTTGACATTGTACCTAGGTAAGTATATGATGTTTTTCTCTCTCAGTCACTGTCTCCGATCAAGTCAATCACCTCCACGATTCTTCTCTTCTCGCCCGCCACAGACACAGCAACCCGACTACGTTCGGTGGCCTGGAAGCGGCTGCTGGAGGGGGTACTTCTACGACATCGCTGTCCTCAGACTCATCGCTCTTCTCTTGTGTCTCGCTGCCTTCTTCTTCAGTGTCCTCATCCTCCTGCCAGTCCGGCAAGAGCTCATTTACGCAGCCCGCTGGCAAATCACAAGAGCCTATCATCGAGCAACAGTGAGTGTTCACCCAGGTAGATATAGTAAAGAAGCCGACAGAGAGAAAGGCACTCACGGTAGACCTGTACCAATGCGTCACTTCGAGTCCATCATTGCCCATGTAGCCAGTGTAATCCGTTTCCTCCCGCGTGGCCTTGGAAAAGGGTTTCTGTAGAGCCTTATCTGGATCAAAAGGCAGATCCTCGCCCCACACCTCACCGTCGAGATCCAAAACTGACAATATTCTACGTTCTGACCGTTCAATATCCCTGAACTCGTGCCACTCCGGGGGTGGCCGTGGTGCACGGTAACCGTACCGACTTTTGGAGCCCACCTCGGCATCGTAGTCAAAACTGCAGTCTCCATGCTCTTCCTTCTCTAGTAGAGCGGAAAAGAGAAGATATCAGCCCTTCAGTGCTTCGAGCTGAACAGAGGCTACCGTATAGCCGTGGTCCAGCTCGTAGAGCAGATAAGACCATCAGGGGGCAGACTTGGGCCAGACTTCAAGGACCTGATGAAGGGCCACCTCGTGGCGCTCCAAATTGGGTGCAGAGGGTAGAGAGAGAACACCTATTGGTGATAGGCTGGGTGCAGAGATCGAACGTGAGGACCCAGCGCGTACCCTTCTCAACGGGCCTGATCTCGTGTCTCATATCGGAGTATCACGTGGCCCACGAAATGGAATCCGTTGAAGAGGCGTAGACCATTTTACGCCCTGCATGTCGTAGAATCACATCTCCACCTTGATGGTAAGAAGGAAGGGACAGGACCAATGTTCCAAACATGCCACGTTCCTTCTCCGAGCTCGAATTGTTCTGCGTCCAGTTGGATGGTGTAGCGGACATCTTTGTCGACAAGGGTGGTGCTCCCCTTCCCTTAGAGGGCGGCTTGACCGCAGGATAAAAGCTTCTTGAAGTCTTCCCTCTTGAGCGGTTGCTGGATAACGCCCTCGATTTTTGGCTTTGTTGAGTGCCTTTAGATCGGGCTTGTATAGCGTGCATCTTGAGGCCATGACCAAAGGGAACAGAGCCGAGGGATAGCGAGAGATGTTGTCGGAGAGAAAGTGAGACGCGATGAAAAAAAAAAAACAAGAGAAAAAAGAAAGAAAAAAGGAGAACCGCGACGCGCCCAATCCCGACGTTTTAGCCGGGAACTTCACAGTGCAAACGGATTCACGGATTTCTATATCGGAAAGCTCTGAAGTTGTATGGGTGTTGGGGGTCCATGGAAAAGCCAGGCGATTGGAGGAACAACCGCCTACCTAGGGAGGGCCTCACAAAGCATCTGTTAAGTTTTTATTTTATTTTTATTTTTAACTTTTGGGAGTGTTTGGCAAGACACGTCCTCGGTGATATTGTTTCGAAGTTCAAAGGTCTCAAAAAATCACAGGTCTGTTTTGTTCCACAACGTAGAAATCAAGGTGGATCACGGCAGAATGCGTTTTCAACACCACCTTGGCATTCAGGGGCACCCACCCCACTCTAGAACCTCGACCAAAAGCACAAACCTGTTGTTACGCAAGTTTGATCTTCAGCAGGCTCCCGAGTTGCAAGAGATGCATAGCTTGGCACAGCAGACTTTGATTTGCCGTTGTGGTTGCCTGCAGTGGACATTTGTTCAAGTGCTTATGTTGTGGAGAAAGAATGTTTAGCTTGTCAGCTTACTCTGGGATCTGACTCGGCTCCAGATCTCCGCATGTCGCTCGTGAGTCGTGGCAAATACTCTAGAAGTATAAGCTCTTTAGGTACATTTATCCCCACCATATGCACCACTCGGTTAGGCTTCTCTGCAGCGGCATTGTCAGCGACATGCTTGCAGTTTAGAATTCCTTGCCGGCTCCCGACAAACAGGTGCAAACACATGGTTAGGTGAGGCAGAATGGCGGGGATTGGTGTTATGACACCGGACCAATTCAATCTAAAGTCCCATAGACTCAAGGCAGATGGTAAGGTAGACAACCCAGATTCTCCACGGAGGGCCTCGCTTCGTCTGAGACCTTGATGATGATGACAATAGCACTACTGTCTCGACGAGTACCTAGCATATCCACCTTTGGCTCTTGTACAATTTTGACCGAGGCCGAATCAAGACTGCAAGAAGATGAGGTCAATGCCGATGAAAGTATATAAGGGCAATCCTGTCCTCCTCAACTAGAGTTTCCTTCATCACCATCAGTCTCATCATCCATCGCCCACCACCTTCATCTTGCCCCTCAACTTCTTCTGCAAGCTCACCTACCGACTTTCTCACCACAATCCATTCCCACCACCACCAAAATGTCCAAAGTTATTGGCGTCATCTCCGGCCTGCTCGGCATCCTCCAATTTTCCATGGACAACTTCCCCAAAAAGCAGTCCAACTCGTGCGTTGTGCGTGTCTCGACCGGTCTCGCATCCTCAGGTGGTCTTGAAAACCCCGAGGGTGGTGTGTACAAGGTTCACGTCTTCAACCAGAACCAGGAGCGCATTGGGTGGAGCAACGGAAAGTTCATCTCCAACGGTGGCTTTGTCGACATCAAGGTCGACCAGGGCTCAAACCGCCAGCAAGCTGCCTTTGCCACCATTGAGGCCACGGCCGATGGTATCTGCATCCCTTATATGTCTGCCACCTGGGTTGACGAGCAAAAGTATGGCTGGGTGGGCGACATCGGTTCGTACTGCGGGCAAAAGTGGTATTACAGCAACTACTGGGTACGTCCTCCTGTCTTTCTCCATCTCTCAGCGACTAATCATTTTCTGACAATGCTTTCGACTGAACAGGTTGCTAATACCCAACCTCGCTGCACTTGGGTTGACCGGGACCACTCTCATGGCGTCAAAGCCGGCATGATCATGGTCCACTGGCCCAGCTTCCACACCAACGATAACTGGGTATCGGGCGACCCCAACCCCCGCTCCAAGTGCGGCTACCCCGGTTTCCGTGCCTACAAGAACTGGGGCGATGCTGAGGTCACCGAGTGGTGGAAGCGTGACGACACCAACACCACCACCCCCGCTGAGATTACCAATGACGATGGAGTCTTCGACCCTAACAACTTTGACGGCAGCAAGTGGGTTGAGACCGACTACACCTCGGGCGACTCCAGCTCCGTTGTCATTGCCGGTCGCCAGATCATCAAGAAGCGCACCGTCCGCAAACTCGACCCTCGTCTCGTCATCTCCAACTCGCCCTTCCACAAGGCCTCGGAGCTTTGCGAGAGTGAGACGTCTTTCGGCCCCGACTTTGTGTCTCTTGTTGAGGGCATGTACTGCAACATGGAGACTTCTGAGCTGCTGCCTCTTTGCACCGAGGGGCTTCAGAGGGGATGCTTCCATCTCGAGCAGAAGACCCATGTCAAGCGGGATGGTGTTGTCAGCGAGGGACAGAAGGAATATGAGCACATCCTTGACTGGACGACTTCCAACTGAGAGAATTGTGAAGGCAAGGTATTTCGGTGGTCGTTATTGGGGTGACAAGAATCAATTCGGAAGGGGGAAGAAGTCGTGCAATGCAGTGCTTTTTTTTGATGGGTTGAAAATATAGCTGCAGACTTAAGAATGCAAATAGAAGAGTTTGAGTTGTAAGGGATGGTTCATTTTATTTCTGATGGTTCGTGCGCACTGTCCCTTGTTGATCTTGCTGTTGTGAGCTTTCCAATCCCTGCTGCGACCAGACCTCGATCACGACTCGAGCGAACTGGGCTTCCATCTTTCAAAAACAACACACTCGCAACCATGTCTGGACCAGAAAGAAAAACACCGTTCGTGAGGGGGGATACAACCGTCATCGCCCCATAAACCTGCCCTTTGTCCAGATTTTACTTACGGCGCCGAGTACATAACATGGCCGAACAACAGCGATAGCTACCACGACATCTTTAGAAATGACGGCGTCGCATTTCTCAACGAAACTGCCTTGGAGAAGCTACTTTTCACTCGCTGTCCGAGTTCCATTAGGAGCACTTGACCAAAGATCACCAAAAATTGCTATCGACTCAACTGGAGTTTTACGGAATTAAATTCAAGAAAGGTGATCTTCTTGCCAATCTCAGAAAGACCTCGGAAGACGCAGTAAAGGCCGGTAAAGTGAGTAGTCGCCTCTCTCATCCGAGTTCGGTAACGGGCAACTAGTAAAAACTCGCAGTGCAAAGATCTGGACCCGACCATGTCCTGTGTGCGAGACCGACTGCGTGCCGACTATGACGCCGCGTTTGAGCTTCTGTATGATGGACTGTTCGCCAAACTCAATGGTAACATGGTCATGGAAGCGAATTACCACCCGCGACGATTGTAAAGAAATACTTCTTGGACAGCCATGGAAAGCGCCAGATCCTACCAAGACCAAGGAAGCGCTTGTATTCCGACTATGATACACTGACATCAAAAGCGAGCTCACCTAGGCTATCAGGACAATTCCAGGGCTTATACTGCATCCGACCAAACATGTCGCCTTTTTGGGCTGGGAGGGCACCATCGATGACGGCAGCATCATTCCCCGGATTGAAAACAAGAAGCCCGTCAGTCCACTCGTGCTCGACCGATGGGACCTCGAGAAAAGGTTTCCTGAAAGCATGGTGTCGAAGTATCCAGGGCTGATAACGAAGAAATTTGATAAGCGGGTTGTTGTCATTGGTCGCGACAATGACCGTGACCAGATCGACTTTGAGATTAAGCTACTCAAAGAGGCGGCTCAAAGGGAGAAGGAACTTGAGGCGGCCAAGAGGCGACAGGAACAAGCTGAGCAGAAGGCAGCCAAACAAGCGGCGTGGAACCGCCGGATCGCAGGGTATCACCGGCTGCTGTCTGCTTTTCGCCAACATGAACAGGAGGCCTCCCGAGCCATACTGGGTTTGTCAAACCTGCCAGGAAATATGTTGTGAAAGCTACAAGCAAGGAGTTAGCCGACTACGACGCAGCCGCCGAAAGCGGAGAAGAGATGATGATCAGCATTTTTCCAACGCCGTCGAGCACGCATGGAGAGAAGGCATCGTTTCATTTTGGAGGTGATTGAAGGGACAATGCTGCTCGGGATGTCAAGGCGGGATGTCAAGGCGGGAGGAGCAGCCGAAGCACAGCGAGTACAGCGACCCAGGTGACTCCGATGAGGAGAACGATGCCCTGGGCCCCAGCTACTTCCACGGTGGTGGCAGGCGTCTTGACGATGATGGCTCGGCAATCGGTCTGTCAACCTCAAGAAATTGGGGCACCGATCTTTCCAGCAGCAGCAAGGTCAAAATCGAGGACGAGGCCAAAGAAAACAAGCCCGCCAGTCTTTTCGCCAATGGTGGGACAGAAGAGAGAGGTGGGAAACATCTCTGATCCCTGGGCGTTCAAGCTGCCAGGGCTAAGAGGCAGCAGATGATTGCCAACGCGTCGTCCACCATTGAAACTACGCCCTTGGTCAAAATGAAGCCAAACTCTCCCAAGGGGCACGCATTCTTTCCGCGACACATACCCCCGAAGCCTCGGCACCCCAACCGCGTTTACTTCCAATTTGTCTGCAGCGACGTGGGCGGGTATCCAAACGTGGTTGATAAGAACAGCCATATTGGTTACTTCGACTTTGACAGGGACGCGGGTTGGCTGAAAGCAACGGGCGTGTTCCATCTACCCAGATTGGTACGGCAAGGAGCGCAGACAATTTCCATCTAGAAGATCTCCAACGTACCGACTAAAAAGAAATCTTTGGAGTGATATGAGTTTGATGGAAGGCGCTGGGGGCCAGGATGATGTTGTTCTCTTGTTTGTTCAGGAGACATGTTGGCTGGGTTGTGATTATGTACCTCAAAGTCCATGACCAAATTTGTAGATCAAGCCTTGGACCAGGGGCAGGCGCAAGTTTATACTGCTTACTCTATCTAGGTAATTTAATACCTACCTGTGTTCTGTTCTTGTATAAGATGTACAGCTGCTTTGTTTATTGGTGTCAATGGCTCTGCTGGTGCACAGTTTTTGGAGACTCAAAATGACAGCCGGCTATTTGTGGTAACCACTGCGTGCCAAGCCTTTGGTATCTTGAAGCCTACCTGAGGTAGCTTCGCTTCTCTAGTGTCATCTATAAACCCGGCCCATTCCCCTCTTGATGTTCAAAGAGTCCTCATTGTCCTCAACACAACACATACTTCTTACTTTCACCCTTGACAACTCCCCTTCACAGTATCGCGTAGTTGGCAAAGAATCACGGCAAACAAGATGGGATGGAACAAACTGCCAGTTGAAATCGCGGCAATCATCTTTCTCCAACTAGAACCTGCAGACCTGATCTCGATCATGTCGTCCTGCCGCGCCATCTTGATTCTTTACCAGGCATCTGAGGCACAGATCAAACACCGCATCAAAGCCCAGCTGGGCGACACTTACTTGGATCTGGTCCTCTATGAATCCGCACCTATCTGTCTTTCCATGAAGATAAGGGTATGTGACCAGCATAGCTAAGCTGTTCTGTGCGTCAGCATCTATGCTAACAGAACTCGATAGTTCCTGGTCCAAGTTCAAGACTGGGAATGGCAAAATTACCTACCCGGAGTGGATGCTCAGGGTCCGCCAGATTCAGCCCCAGTTCATCTCGATATGTTTCAACCAGGACCTTGCCCGCCCGCTTTTGACCCTGCCTCGGTATGACCGACCTACTCTGGGCACCCTGCATCGTTTTCTGAAGCGAATGAAAACGCTTGACCGGCATGTTTTCTACTACATGAACTGGCTGAGAGACGAGATACATTTCGTAGCTGTTCGGCGGAAAAATTGCGCTACGACCCCCTCCGCCGCTGAGCGAGTCCGGTTGAGAAGGGGTTTCATCTGATATGAAATGATGTGCCAGCTCACTGCTCGATCCCGGTGGAACGTCATGCTGGGAATCTTGGATGGGGCCGAGGAAGAATCGGCCAGCGACAGAGAACGGGCGGTCAGACAGCTTTCCATGAGCGAATCTGGCTTCTTGGAAGCGGTCCCTTACGTTGTTGCCGCAGAGGTGACTTCGATTGCCTGTTTTGTCTTTTCCCGCCATCGAGAGATGCTCATGGACTTTTACCAGGAGTTGTTCAAGTTGCGGAAGGCATACACACCAACTGGAGAGGAAGTAGATGAGGAGATGGAGCCCGATGGCCAACCGCACTCAAACCGTGAGTTCACGTATGATGAGTGGGAGAAGGAGAATTTGCTATACTTGTCGTCAGCCGTGGGCTTGGGACTTGGCTATCTCGAGAGGGTGCAGGATCTGTCAGACATGGCCCGACCATCGTGGTTCCGATTGATTCTCGGCCACTTTCAACCGGCCGAGCACTCTCATGTTCTGAGACTGATGAAAACGTGGGATGAGGTTGTTGGACCGGTTCAAGAACAAGGCGGCACGTTTGAGGCGGAAACGCCGGTGCGGATGCCGCCGCAGCCACAACCTGGCTCGTCAGTCCGAACATCTTACGGTGCTTCGAGTTACCCGGGATTTCATCACATCTTTTCCGGCCAAGCGAGGTCGTCGTATTAAGTCACCAATCTCATGGAACACGGCTGGCCGTTTTGGGATTTGGATAGGACAGTTGCTTTGGAGCCCAGCCTGGAGCTAGAACCAGCGTACTCGGAGAGCAATTGGAGGGTGTTGCACACCGGCAGAAACGACAATCCCCTTCGGAATCACCCATTTTGGCTGCCCGAGCATGGATGGCGGTCAATAATTACGAAAATGCTTTTGCCCAATTTTGATGCCTCGGCTCCATTCGATCAACTGGATTTTGATTCAAGATCGGGTCGGGTCATGGTCGTCGATGGGGAAAGGATGATGAGAGAAAACTTTCTCTGGAAGAAAGGGCTGGCAGGGCTGAAAACAGGCTCCAGTTCTTCAGGGACCTGATGACCAATCTGGACGAGTATTGGGCACTTGGGCCTGCCGGTAGCGCTTCAGATTGAGTTTTCGAGGGTGAACAAATTCTTCTAGATCCTAATCTCTATGGATAGATTCCGGGTCTTTTTGATGAGGTGCCTAATTCTATGTCTTCAAAGGGGTGTATGTCGGTCGGTAGTGATTAACATTACATGTTGGGCTGGTGACCTAGGAAAGTCACTGGCTGCGAAAATGAGGCCAAAATTGGCCAGAAAAAAATAGTAAACAAATTGGTATTACAGTAGTTGGTTGTTGGTTAAAAAGTAAACAGTAAGAAAATCCAGCCCCAAGAGCAAACCGGTGTGGGTCTGGGAAAACCTGGGCCCTTTAGTGCCCCACACCCCCCTACAGATAGTACACCGCCGTCCAAAATAAAGCCATCGCTAATATCCTCCGAAGCTTAATATACGCCTAGATTCTTCCACTTCCTTTGATTCCTTTGCCCAATACCCTAGTAGCCTTTTTCCTATATAAATACACGTTCTCCTACATATCTTAAACCGGTAAAATCTCGTATTTCTAATAGCTATATAAACTTTACGTGCTTCTCCCTTTATAATACCTTTATAAATCTATCCGCCGGTATCTCTAACCTAGAGATATATTAAATACTAAATTTTCTTTCCTTTATTTATTTACCTACCTACTTATACCGTATATCGATACACTAAGTCCTAACGATATTCTAAGGGTTTAGAACTATAATTTCAGCGTTCTTATTATCGGTATATAGTATATATAGCCTTAACTGTAATATACTATAGTCTTTTAATATCTTTAATACTTACTATAATAAATACCTTATAGGCGTTAGGTTAGTAAACTCTACCTCCGTCGTACTTAGGGCGACGAAGGTTTATTTCTTACTTTTTTATAATACTAGCCCACCAACTACGAAAACGATATAGCCGCTAGTAAAATATCTCTAAAGTAAGATATCCGTATATAAAGTATTTACGAATCGTTGACGGCGGCAAGGTAT